AGGAGTGCCGGCCTTGCGCGTTGCCCTTAGGCGAACTGTTGCGTGTGTTTGCCTTTGGCCGGTGCTCGCATTGCTCGCAATGTATGCTCGGCGGACGTGAACACCGATGTTGCGGTCACCGACGACAGTCCATGAAATGAGGGTCTCACCTGTTTTGGGGGTACCTCGAAAAGTCTAAATAATGAGGCTCTTGAGCAAGGTCTACACAATGTATTGCCCCAAGCATATCATGAGGGTAGCTGCTCTATCGAATGATTGCCTGCGGCCACATCAAAATGATGCACCTTATCGGTTATGACACCATCGACGCGGCCTGTGCTGCGGGCCACATGGGCGCAGGAGCTGAGGATGCTTTGCGGCGTGCGAGCAGGCGCAGCCAGATGGCTTCGGCTTCCAAGCGGCCCCCACCCTCGACTCCAACCGCTACCAAGCGGCAACGGCAGGCGCGCACAAGCTCGGGGACGTCTGGCGCCGTTTGTGGGCTCTTCAAGAAGCGCCCAGCCGGGCTTGACGTCGGCCCCAGGCTTTGCCCCGCCAGTGCGGGTAACCGGGCTGACGATGGTAGCATCGACAGCCTGGTGCGCTTCCAGCCGTGCCAGGCCGTTGGCAAAAGCTTGTATAAAATGGGGTCCAGAGATGGTACCCCAATAAGGAAAGGAGATTTTTTTTTGTTCAAACAATCCCCAGGTGCCGACACAATGATGGGGGATGATAGTTTGTGGGTTCCAGGTCTCGTTGAGGGTATTGCACGTGACCAGCGGATCGAAATTGTGTTGACCGGAATGGGGGAAGATCGTGGAACATGGTGCGTGTCGCTCGCAAGGATGGGGGCGATGGCGCCGAGATCCCTCTGGGCAGGCTGCTCGCCGTAGACCCGTAGAACCGCGACCCGGACCCACCATTTCTGCAGACGCAAAATAATTATGTGAAAGCGTGGCAACCCTACAAAGAGCAAACGCAACCCACGCTTGGGCGAGGTCATGGCGATTTCGCCCATGGGGCTCGGCAACACGCGCAGCCAGTCACGAGTCACGAGTGCCAGCGTTTTTCCTGAGTTGGCCAAGTTTTGCCTCACATGTAACCTGCAACGTCCTTGGGTATTGTTCTTCATGCAAAGTACACATGTTGTTTACTTGCTGGAACGTGGTGAAAGCAAAATGGCAGCATGCTCTCTTGGACCAGGGCTGGAAAATTGTCAGTCCCGTTCGTTGATCGCATTCTCCAGACGTATGCGCGTTAATCAGCATGTCTTGGTATAGCGTTCTCAACAGATGGACCGCAACTGACGCGCTTTCAAAGGGTGGCGAACAGGGATCCGGTGATGCCAGCCTTGCACGCAATTGCCTAGCAGCTGGCCGTGCGCGAGGTCCAGGCAGCGTTGCGTGAAGGCGAGGCCATCATTGCGTATCTCGAGGTCAGTCGTGAGTCCACCAACAAACATTTCATGGGATCCATGACATATTATCCTACATGTATGGAATGCCAGGGTGAGCGACATGTGTCAACATCATGGGCTGGAGGACTGGGCAACCAGGTGCTTGAAGAGCTATTGGAAACTGGCCATGTGCAGCGCGAACTTGCCATTTGATTGATGGGTTAGCCGAATTTTGGATTGGTCACCGCGCCGGGCTTATGCTGGTCAACAGCCGTTTTCGTGGGAAGATCGGCTGATCTCATACAGCCGTTTAAAACGCGCGTATGACTGGAAGAAACAGACTTCCGACACGAATTGGTGGCTTCAACACACCAATGATCTCGTGCATTTCGCCATGATGCATTGAACCAGCAAGTAGCCCATTGATCAACATGGCTTGAATATCTGGCCCTGTGTGAAACTGGATATGTAAGGGGTTGCGTCCGGGCATCAGGCCGACTCGACTCAATTGAATGCGGCGGGCAGTGAGCCTCGGCACGTTGCGGACCCGCAACAGGAAAAGGGGGGGCCCTTGGCATTGGCAAGGCCCATGAGGGCCCTTGGAAAAAGACCCGTCGCCCGTGGGGCCCGCAGACCTTTCAAAATGCCATCCCAGGGGTCAAAACCCTGCGCCTCCAGCGGTCTTTCCACGATGCTCTCATCAGAAACCTATCAGGTCTTTGGGAGGCTCGCCTTTCCGGCCCTCCAGAGCCCATGGAGCACTCCCAAAAGGCAGCCGTTGTGGTTTACGATCATGTCACAAAGCAAGCAATGCCTGCTCGATTGCGTGCGCGCAGTATGCTGGCTTCGCTGCTCCCCCTCGCGTTGCAGTTCTACGCTGCCCCCAGCTCCGATGCGTGGACTCATCGCGGAAGGAATGACCGTCTCATGGCGCAGGGTGACAAGGGCGAACACGCAGACTCTGTTCTGCCTTTCCTTGCACAGAGCAGCCAGCACCGAAATGCAGACGGGCGAGGCGGTGTTCGTTTCCTTGATGACACCCATAGGCACGCCCCAGCCCGGAGCACGCGACGCCGGTCTCCAACAGTGAAATGTGGCAACATACGCAGGCACGGCACAATGATGGTAGTAAGACGAGGAAAAGGAATGCCGTTAGCAAAAAAATCTTCCAACCTAGGTTCCAGTCGCACAGGCGCAGCCGCACAACCAGCAAAGCCTCAGGAACCCCGGAGCGCCGCTCGGCGATCGCGAAGTTGTCCAACGCAACCTGTGCATGTCAACCTTGCCGTAGGGGGAGGCCCTGCAGCCCTTCCTGAGGCACAGCGAGTAGTGAACTTGGACTTGCGCTTTGGCGGCACGGAGTTTCGCCGCCGCCCTTGCCGTTTGGTGCTTGTTGGAACGATTTTTTTGCTGACATCCGCCAGGTTGAAAATTCAATGCGATTGGGGAGGATGGCAGTGAGGTTTTGGCCAGTGAGCTGCCTGTTTGGCACGGAACTTGCTTTGGACACTGCCATAGAGTCGCTTGTCACCCGCAGTGCAGTGGCAACGTGCAGCCTGGAGCGGAGCAGGACTGTCGCCAATGCCGCTCGCCGCACGCGAGCCCACACCTACGTCTAATTTGCAAGGGCATGGCCATGCTGGCTCATAGTCGTTCGTGCGGCAATTGTAAGGTGTTTCGGCACGGAGATACCAAACCTGTCTCGGCTGGTGGCGCGCCATCCTGCCGAAGCGGTGCTTGCATGGCTGCGTGCGGCAGCCTTATGTGCTGGGGTCGCGCGCTGTCTTGCTTCTGGCTTGTAACAGCCCGCCTTCCTGTTGCGGAGTGGAGCCATGACGATGTCTGGTGGCAACTAAACGTTTATAGGCTGAACCTCAACAAGTCCATGTAGGCACAAAAAAACGGGGGAAGAACAAATCCGGCTGCTTGCCTGCAGGCGTTACGTGTTTTCGCAAAAAAAGACGGTTTCCATTCAGGTTTATGAGCTCGGATTTCGCCTTTGGCGTTTCCCGTGCGTATGCCAATGTATTCGGTAACGACCGTGGGTTATAGGCAGAGGTGCAACTACCTTGCACATGTATGGTTGGAAAATCATCACAAACAACAAAGGAAGGGGCAGCCGTAAGGCATCAGGCTGCCTTGAGTCAACTTAAGCTGCCATGCATGATGATGATTGCATGTGGCTCCTCGCAATTGCCGGAAATCCTTTGCGGACCCCACATGAATGACCATGCCTTCCTTGTAGCTTACATGACGCATGGGGTAAACGGTAAACACATGCAAAACATGGCCGTCTGCTAGCCGTGTCGTGTGATGTTATATGGCATCATATAGCATTGGGGTCTATCGTGGTATGGAAGCTTGCAAGTAATTGTGCGAACAGCACGGGCAGGTTGGAAGCGAGCAGCCGTGACTTGTCGGCATATGAGTCGCTAGCGTGGAGTTTTTTCAACACAGAAGCAGCCTTTGGGGTCCTGCTGAGTTATTTTGTTGAGCAGCTGAAGGTTGGTGACCTTGGGGATGAAGATCAGGCTTCGTCATGCGTATGTCGTTACTTGCCAAGCTTGGACGTCCAATGAGGAGAACCAGGCCATGAATTTTAGGACAATCATGTGCGATTGAATCTGGTCGTGGATCGCGTCATCTTTCATTTGGTGTCCAGGTCGCATGCGTCCAATGCTTGTGCGATTACGAAAGTCTCGGCCGTTTGGTGGGCAAGGAAGGAGGTGAGGACCGGCAGCCACCCAAAGTTGTGTGCCTTGGTTGCGCTGCGCACTGTTGCAGTTGCATATTGCGGGACTCTGATGGAACAGTTGTCAGGTCATGGGTTGCGGCCTCGCCAACATTGCATTTGAAGGTGACGGTTTCATGCCTGCTTCTCCGCCCCAGGAGTTCTGTTGCATACAGTTGCAGGATTTCAACGTTTTGTTTGACAGGTGCGTTTGGAACCCGGCCCATTGGAAATGGGGAAGGCATGGGTTGCTACCAAAAAGATCCAAAAAGGACAACGGTGACATGCAACTTGACCATAGCAACTGCACATGCGAAACGTTTTGCTCACGTGTGTGTACTTTTCCGGCAGGCTTGCATATACTGTGAACCGTGGCTGGCAGCGCTGCTGCCCAATGTGGTTGCAGAAAAGTGTCAAGCTGAGCAGGCACACCGTTTTGAATTTCTAGAAAGTGTGAAGGTGCATTTGGTGCTCACGGACACGCATAATCTTATTTGCGTGGGCTTTGTGTTGATCAGGCCGAGGGATACGTTGCTGCGCGGGGAACAGCTGAAACTGTGCAGCTTCCAATCACTTCGTCGGGGAAGACACCTACAGAAGGACAAGCGTGTGTTCTTCACATTGCACCGGAAAGAGTGTGTGGTTGTTGCAGCTCATCATAAGAGCAAGTTCTCGCGTTAGTTTTGATTTGAACTGTTGTATTCAGGTGTGGTTCAACTGGAACGTCTTGGGGACTTCCGCCTCCACATTTTTCCAGGAGCTGAAAACGCTTACGGGTTGCAATGTGTGAGGGCATGGTTACCCAAGACTCCCCCGAAGCCTGGCAAGCGGCAGCGCGTCCCAACTGCCGTCCATGATGCGGCAGCTTTAGAAGCGGCCACTCGGAGGCAAGCCATGAAAGATGCGGCGTCACACTTCTCGTTGGAGGAGCCTCTTTTGCTCATGTGCGCTTGCGAGCGGTGGGAGCGTGTTCTGGCATTGGATCTTCGGGAAGCTTGGCGAGACTTGGGTGAGTTGGAGGAGATTGGCCAAGGGTTGTTCCGCCTTATTGCCGAACAAGATGCATGCCCAACGTCTTCCAAGACAAAGGATCCAGTGCCGAAGCCTCCATTGTTGGGCGAAGGAACTTTCAACCCAGAGGCGGTGTGGCATGTAGCTGGTCTGAGACGCTGCTTACGACTGTTCACGCTACCTGGCTCACAGCAGGAGCTTGTATCTGCAATTGGCAAGAGGAGCCTCAACTTTCCAAACGGTTGGAGTTTGGAACACGAGGGTCCGTATCCAGTTCGATATGAATCTTTGGCACCGTATGCGCAGACATGTGGTTTCTTAGCCACCCAGCTCGGCCGAGCTATCGCAGGGCCGATCTTTCAGGCGTGTGACGTAGCTGATCCCATTGCAGCCACCCCTCTGGTAACAGTGCAAGTAATCGGCACAGAGGACTTGTATTTGCTGGCAGAGGATGTGCTAAGCTTTGATAGTTTCAACCCCACAGAGTTTGGTCGAGCCTGGAGACTTCGGCCCTTCCCAGACTACAGCGCTGCCTTGGAGCCGCTTGCTGCCCTGGCCATGTTGGGCCTGGGTTTACGGGTGCACCGACGCTTTTGGTCCAATGCACCCTTTGCATTTTTGGATGCCACTTGTGGAACTGGTACTTTGGCAGCAGCTGCGAAGTATTGCGTCAAGGAGTGGAAGATTTTTGCTGGGGATGTGAATGCTACGCTTGTGCAGCGAGCACACATCAACCTTGAAGCAGCTTTTCCAGGCCAGGCATACGAGTTGGCGGACAACATGGGCAACCCTCCGCCAGATCCAGGTGGGAGCTTCCTAAAAAGATTATTCGGGTACCTTCATGGGGGTCCCCATAAAAATGATGAGATAGTATATTATCATATTTTGAAGTCTATATTTGGGTCCAATTGCTTTGGGAAACTACCAGGTATCGGAGTGCGTGAGTGGGATGCCACGGAGACGTGGCCCATTCCAGCAGCAGCGCGGGTTGGCAGTGCTGGGCAAGGATTGCTGGTAGCTTCGAATTTGCCTCTTGCCTCTCCAGTACTGTAGGTAATGTTGTTGTAATATCAAGCCCAAGGTAAAGAAGTGTGAGCAACTAAGGCCTTGGGGCAAAAATCTAAAGTGCCAAGTGGAAGCTGCCACGCAGATCACCAGATGCTTAGCTCGGTCCTTCCCCTGTGCCACGCTTTGCCTGGTTGTGCCTGAAGAGGCTCGGAAGTTCCAACTTGCAAACATAAGCACGCATAAACATGCAATGTTCAACGTTGCTGGGGTGAGGGGTTACGCTTCCATGAAGGGGCATTGACAAGCTTTTGGAGGTTTTGCTGCTTTTGGTGTCCAAGTCTGCTTGGTGGAGGGATCTTCAACACTAAATTCTGGGATTTTTGGGTCGGCCGAAGTTATTGTGATAAGGATAGATTATCGTTGTTATTGGGAGTCAGTCCGCGATAAAGATTAAAGTCTTTCGGTGAAAAAGGTCCCGTTTTGGAAGTGGATGCTGCGATTCTCCGATTTTGTGTGCTTCTTAAAGCTGCAACGCTCATGCAGGCGTAGTGGCCCAATGTCCCTTCCGACAATGGAGACTTCTCACATGTACTAAATGTAGGGGTGATATTACATCACGTCCTGCTCGTGGTACCACCCACACCTCCAGACATGACTTTCATGATGTATTGTGC